TCAACGATAGTGCTAGTTGAGTAATTGAGACTTGTTCTGTTGCAACAGTTGTAAAATCGCGTGTTGCAACGCTAGGGTGTTACATTGCCTGGGTGGTGGACTTAATGTAACAGAGCACTTCAGGGTTTGGCGTGCACGTGTAACAACGCACAGAGGCCTGTCCAGCAGATCGGGAATCGAGAACGCGTTTCTGGTTGATACCGACAACAACACCACCACCAACACCACATAGAGAGGCAGCGACTAGGGCCACGAGCACCTAGTACAGCGGCAGCATCGAGGAACAGGACAGGACTGATAAAACACTCTCAAGAATTAGGTAGACGGCACCAAAAGCCATAGAATTCATGATACTCTGCTCAAACTAATGAATAGCACACTGCCAGCACTGTAAACTGTTCTGCACCCCCTTCGCTGCCAGCCCATTTAGGTTTAACATGTGACTAGACAACTTTTTCACCCTGCCACCGCTCTTCCAGCCCAGCCCAGCACAGCCACCTTGCCTTGTTACACTAAGAGTAGGTGGGTTTTGGGAGAGGTGAAGTAAGACTACTTTTTGTGCGCTTTCCTATTTACAGTTAAGCACAACTTCGCTGGAATGTTCAACGAGTTTCTTCTTTACTTGAATACACGATATTATAATACACTAGCTTAGTGTCATTTGAACTGGAGGACCCTTAATCTCTAAGGCGTATAAGCTACCCCACTAAAAGCTGTGAACATCATTATAGTTCCTTCGCCCCTCCTCAAAATTTGCATCTAGCGCGCTTTTAATTAAACCGTTTGACTTAAAAACAACTGCATATGTAGGCATTCTTGAACTCAAGCTTTGGGCTTCGTTGAAGTTGACTAGGTCAGCTCAACCGTAGGTTTCTAAACCACCTCTCTCTCACACGCATCGACAATCTTTTGAACCGTGATGACTGTCCAATAGATGGCAACGTGCTTGATGGACATCCTGTCTTAGAGATGGTTTATAAGCAGACTACTACCACGCAGAAATCTTCGTGCGTCCCAATCTCCAGGACTTTAACTGCGACCTCGCAGCCTTATCGCCGGCATTGTCACGGATGACAAAATGACGACTACCGTCCATCGTCGTGAGAATGAGACGACCGTTACGAGATTCGAGGTCTACCCCATTTACGACGTCGAGATTTATGGGAGAAAAGTTTGTTGCTACGATTTTTATGTCGACGAGATGAGACGGGAGTCACGTGGGAAGCGTGGAATCGCGGAGAAGCCTCGACTTCGTGGGTCGTGCTCTAAAGTGTGTATGCAGACACTCCTAGCTGTGAAGACACAGGAAGTATATGTCTCTCATAAGAGTACCGAGGCTAGAAATTGTCGATTACGGGGTCAATGAATACTCCGCTACCGGACGAAGACTGGCCGGTTGCATCGTCTATGGACGACTACGTTTGCAGAGGAGTATAATGCGACACCTTGCTTTGTAGGAGGTGAAGCCCTCCAAGTCTGGGACGCTCCTACTCCTGCATTGTACACGGACAGTCAAGGGAGAACGATAACTTTAGGCGCCGTATTCCTGAGGCAGTGTCTCATTCTGCCTTCTCATGTGGCCCCAACAGTCGGCGGTATACTGTATCTCCGCAACTGGTCTTAGCTCATGTGAGCAATTGATGGATGTGCGATTGTCACAGATGACATTGCCTTAAAAAGGAAGGAGGAAGGAAGGAAGGAAGGAAGAAGAAGACCCGCTACTTTGCAAGGCAGATTCATGGCAGAGTTATATTACAAGCATTCAACACCTAGCTGCTTCCCTCCCTGCGCCCGCGATGGTCTTCTTTCACTCGTCCTGACGGTTCGTCGCCGTGCCTGCGCCATTCGGGCCAGGCTCTCTTTTCGGCCGCTCTTCAAATAGTCTTTTGGTTGCGCGAGCCAGGAGTCCTTCCTCTAGATCGCTTTACAGCACGATCTTTGCGCTTAGAGGCAACCACCGCCTTCGGGATCGAATTCGAATCCATCTGTTCCTTCATTCTCTGATCAACCGGCCGTGAAGGGATCTCGATGAATATTTTCCATTGTCTCTCTATTTTGCTTTCTTGCCATGAGGCTTCTATCACGGTGGTATCACGGCAGCGCCATTTCGATCACTAAAACCCAAATTACCTATTGCCGAACGACTAAACCTTCCACCAACGGTAACATAGAAGTTGATTAGTCCTCCATGTTGGAATCATCGACTCAGCTGCGCTCCAATAGACCTTGATCCCCTCACCTGGTACGTGTACAAGGATGCTGCTCCGGCATTTTCGCCACAGGCAAGGCCCGGCTTTGGCGGCAGCTATTTCATAGTTTTTGAAACGCTGAACGGCCCCAATAAACTGTCAAAGAACTCTGGTCAACACATGGCCAAGGAAAACGGTGCTTTTGATGTTAGCGTTTTGCCGTCCCTACTTTTCGGATGCTGGCCCAGAACTATTTAACCCTCTACTTCGCAGAAGGAACGGCTTGCCATTTCTGGTGGCTTTTAGAGCGGGTGCAGCACAGTATCTCAGCCCCATGGAGCAGGGCCATCTGGCGGTGACACTGGGTCGAGCCCGACCGATGATGGCACGATCGTCAAAATGGTTGAACATCAGTTCATGGGTCAGCGTGGTTGCCTGGTTTTCTCTCAACTCAATGATCAAGACTGCCATTGATTTCAACACGTGAAATGTGAAGGATTTTGAGGGTACAACGACTTCAGCCTATGGAATCAACGTTTCATCCTATTGGTAATGGCATAGAGGTACATCGTCTATATCACAGGATTCCGAGACATAGTTTTCGCCGTACGCAGGTATCTGTCAAGGAGTTTTGTTAGGAGACGTCTCCACGCTCGCTGGCCTCCCAACCCAAGTGACCTCACACGGAGCCACGGACCCCCTTACTGATGCTGTCGAATATATCTTTCAAGATAATTGAGAATGTGCCAGTGCCCTTTGGCCTTTGCCGCCTCCATTGCAGTCCCAAATTTTCCGCCGCGGACCAAAGGATCCGCACCGTGCTCGAGCAGTACTTTCACGGCTTCGAACTTCCCACGCTTCGCTGCGCTTTGGAGTGCTGTTTCATATTTACCACCCTTGGCATTAACATCCGAACCGCGCTGGATCAGTAGTCGGACGCAAGGTAGATAATCGACATTTCCGCGTGGGTTGCAAGCAGCCTGAAGCACATGGCCATACTTTCCTGCAACAAGATTCACATCGACTCCTTTGTCCAGAAGGCGCTCCACAAGCTCCATTTCGCCGTCCCTAGCCGCAGCATGAAGCGCACTGCCGTATGGGCCACCGATTAGATGTGGGTTGGCTCCGAGGTCGAGCAATTTGTGGGACCAGTTTTTGTTCGCAAACCGTGCTGATGATATGAGGGCAGTCCCAAACTCTGGGTCATAAGCATTGACGTCTGCTCCGGCCTCAACTAGAGCATCAATGCATCTGCCATGGCCGTTGGACACGGCTGCTTGCAGTGTGCTGACATAGTTTTGACATGGTGGTGCATTTACATCGGCGCCGATGCTAAGAAGGTATTTGACAATTGATGCCGCTGTGTCGGATCCGCAGAGATGCATGTTACCCAGAACCGCTCGAAGGGCATCCCTTCAAACAAATTAGCAAGCAATGAAAAGAGCAATTTCCTCAATACATACCCGGCTTCGCCACCTTGAGCATTGACGTCGACTGCGAGAGATATGAGAAGCTTGCAAACACCCATATGCCCCCATTTTGCTGCCATCTGCAGAGCATACCCCGGCACACCTTGCTGGATGTGGATCTCTGCTCCGGCATCAATGAGGAGCTTGACAAGGTGTGTCTTTCCACTGCTACAGGCAGTAAGGAATGGGCGGCCACCGTCAACATTGACATCTGCTCCCGCATCCAACAGCAGACGAATCATGGACTCGCTGTTCTGGTTTACCGCGGCCTCAAGCGGCGATTGGAAATCATCTGTGCTGGCATTGGGATCCGCGCCCTTTTCAATCATCAAAGTCGCTATTGCTGTCAGTCCTTTATGCACTGCGAGCCGGAGTACTGGTCCGAAAACCCCAGCAAAGCCGTTAGGGTCGGCGCCTAGGTCTAATAGCTGTCGGACGAGGTGGAGATCTTCCCTTTCGAGAGCGCATCCTAGGGCACAACCATAGTTATATTTTCCTTCTTGCTGCCTGCTTACATCGGCCCCTGCATCCAAGAGCAGCTGAATGATGGACCGATTGCCACTATTGATGGCATCACAAAGTAAACTGTAGACTTTAGTTCTTTTGCGGATTGCTGGCGACATATAAAGAGTATTCTTACATATATCCACCCTCATTGATATCGGCACCGCTTGCAATGATTCGCCTAACGATTTCCTCGTTTCGGCTTTCTACAGCAATTCGGAGAGAATTCAAACAGAACTTCATCCCATGGGCAAGAAAAACACGAACGAGATCATTTTTCTGACGTCTGATCACAAGGTCCAATGCAGTGGACCGCCGATGGTATCCAGAGCAGCCCTGCTCTAGTTCGGGACAGCTAGCGTCGGCGCCGTTTTTGAGTAAAAAGTAAACGAGCTTCTGGGTGTCTTCGTCGCTGACGTTCAGACCCCATTTGTGTCCGACGGTACATGCAAGAGCATTTCCTTTTCGTCGGAGTCAGCCTAGACAGGGTTAAAGGAGTGCATAACACAATCCCGAACATACCCTCATCTCCAGGAGGAGCATTGATGTCTGCTCCTCGCGAGACCAGAAGCTTCACCATCTCAACATCTGACCTTTGACATGCACACTGGAGTGGTGTTGCTGTTGTGCTATTAGTGGAGAGGTTTACGACCAAGTTAAACAGGCACCTACACTTGTCATTTTCATTCCGGCCGGACGATTCATTGACATCCATGCCAAGATCTAAAAAGAGATTGACGGCCGTTTTTAGACCTGCGCGAGCAGCAGCATTGAGAGCAGACTCGTACCAGCCACCTCTGTGGCCATTGATGTCAGCCCCAGCGTCAAGGATAAGGCGTATCAGCTTCTCGTCATGGCTGATGACGGCAGCGGTGAGTGGTTTGTAAAACTCCCCCCCTTCAGAATTGACAGATGCTCCTTTGCGAAGCAGTTCTCGTACCATTTCCTCGTTGCCGATCTTCAGTGCCAGATGCAGTGCCGTAGCACCGTATTCGCCGCCTCGAGCATCGATTTCGATGCTGTCGTCTGCGAGTAAGGCTCGAGCAGTCTCCATATCCTTACTTTGAATTGCGAGCTGCAGCGCAGTTCCTTCCTTCTCCTGGGCATTCACGTTGACTCTTTTAGAAAACATTCTCTTTACCAGAGACTTGTGTCCATATTCGATGGCCATGAGAAATATCCTATCGTTGAATCCTGCGCCTCTATCGAGGAGAATTTCTGCTGCTCTTACTTTGCCTCTGAAAGTGGCGCAATGAAGCGGCGAGTGGTAGCGTCCCCCCTCATGATTTAAGTCGGCCCCGTGGTCTAGTAGGAGATGCAAGATATCCAGATCGCCATGGTCAATACAAGCCTGGAGCGCTGAATCCAACTTACCACCGAAAAGGTTGACATCTGCATCATTAGCTAGCAGAACCTTGACCACTTGAACATGACCTTCATTGCAGGCCACCTGGAGAGCAGTATGTAGATCACCAGATATGACATTGACTTTCGCCCCAGCTTTGATGAGCATTCGTACCAGTTGAACGTCACCCGTCTTTGATGCACAGTAAAGAGCGCTTCCAGTTGGCTCGTTCGGATCATTGATGTCGTTTCCCTTGAGGAGCAGAAGCTTGACTAGCTCTGCTTGTCCTGAAGATGCAGCGCCAGCAACCGCATTGCTGTGATGTGTGCTCCTAAGCTCAGGATCAGCTCCGCACATAATCAGTTTCTTTGCAACTCGCAAATGACCCATGTGAGCAGCAGCAATTAACGCATTGCCGTACTCGCCGTGCTCGGTATTTATGACAGCGCCATTTTTGAGTAGAAGCTCAACAGTTTCAAAGCCGCCGCTAAAAGCAGCTGCTTGCAAGGGATCTCCGAAGTATCCACAGTCCGTATTTACCTGGGCACCCTCATCCAAGAGAAGCTGAACAATTTCTGTGTAATTTCCAAGCGCGGCGGCCTGGAGAGGATCTCCTAGAGTGCAGCTCCCACTAGGATTGTTGATTCGGCAGCCTTTCTCGATTAACCATTTGCATGTGCTCAGCTGGCCCAGCAGCGAGGCAAAGTAAATTGGCGGGGCAAATTGATCCAGGTTTCGCCCAACATGATGTGAGACTAGGTTGTTCGGGTTGTAATCTTGATTATGTACGCGCAGCCAAAATATGTACGGTCTAGGGTCCTCGGTGTCGAAAAGCGAGTGAACGTGTTCCAATAACTGACCTGATCGCTTTTCTGGAGGAACCTGGCGATAATGTTGCGGCCAGTATTGCGACGCGTATTTTCTGAGTGGGTGGTATTTCCTGTCACGTGTTGGAATTGGTGCGTCTAGGTCAGAGAATGCAACTGTCAAAATATACAACAGTAGTGCTTGGGTGATATGCTCGTGAGAACTTGTTTCGTTGAAATAAAAGGAATTCAGCGCCGTCTGCTTGTTTCTTTCTGAGATTATGTACTCTTTGACTGAGTAATGGGAGAATCTAACCACCCCTAACGGCCCGTATCGCCCGGTGTATGAGAATAGCCAGGGTTTGTCGTCGCGGGGTGCCTCGGTGACTGTCACAAGGCTGGAACACAGCTCCAGAATCACTGAAAGCGGGTCACTCGTTCGCTCTTTAGGATCAAACGACTGCTCTTCAACGTTGATCACGACGGCATCAGCAAGCTCTTCAACCCCCATCGGTGTGATTGAATATGCTAGGAACATGAGTGCCGATCGAACAGCGCTAATGTTCTCTTCAGAAATAGACTCAAGGATTCTATCGTAAGTATCGTAGAGAGTAATCGGCAGCTGTTTTAACTTCTTTCTTGCTGTACCCGAAAGAATACAGTTGCCGATAATTTGCAGTTGGCATTTCGCCCAGCGAAACCTGAAGGAGTGAGCCAGTCGCGACATGACAGTGGAAATCAACTTACATCCCCTGAGATCCCTTCACAAGTTCATCCTCTATCTCTTCACGGATGGATGTCGTCCATTTGGATATGCGCTTGTGTCCAGAAACAAACCCCCGAATGTGAAGACGCACATCAGAGTCCACGTTTTCCGTCTGGATTTCAATGACATGAAGATCCGTGCGCTTCGAAATAGCTTTCATTGCTTCTTCAATATCATACTCCTTTCGACTGGTGAAGAGGAAGTTGTAATTTCCAGGATGCTTGCCGATTACGCCGAGGACCAAGTCATTTAGCCTTGCCCTTTCAGAATTGTTGGGTTCGTCCGGACACTCGTCGAGGCCGTCAATAATGATGTATGTTTGTTCATCAGAGTTTAGAATGCCAAAAAGAGTCTCCGTGAGACTCTTTTCTGAAGGATTTGATCGTCCTCGGTCGCATTTATCGTATAGAACCGACATTGCGTCTGGCACTAAATCCATTTTCATACATAGTTGAAAAATTAGAGAACGTAACAAGACAGACAGCTTCTGGTTAGTAGCGTCACTGAAGTCAAAGTAGTAGTAAGCCAGCCTACTGCCACTTTTAGACTGGCAAAGCTTCATGACGTGTTCAATGATGGTTGAGGACATGATTGTCTTACCGCAACCTGGAATGCCGTGCAGCTACTGAGGGTCAGTATTGAACATAAATGAATAGGATTCCCAAGCCTATACTGACCCAAATACTCTGTCTCGGCTCCTGTATCCATTTTCTGAACTTTGGATTGTCGAGAACCCATTGGTTCGTCCCCTCCTCATGTTCCAGCCTGGAGATCATGTGTTTGTCTTTGGGATCATTTGGCCGAAGCCAATTCAAAATCTTCTCCCGCTTGTCATGCAGCTGCGCAGATTCTATCGAGTTTTGAATGTCTTCGACGTCATTTCGGATCTTCCTTGTGACATCCATATTTTTGGTAGCCAGGGCTAATAGTAATGTCGGTTTCTGCTTCCGCATACGTTCAAGAATCTCCTCCAGCTTCTTCGACTCAAACGGCCAGAGGAGCCTTTGTTTTGTTGTCAATTTCGTTGGCCGTGGCTGGAGTTTTGTCTCGATCTCCTCAAGTGCTTCGGTGCAAATGGACAATGCACCCGCCAGAGCAACTAAGCTCGCGAGTCTTTGGTTATTAGACTCATCCTGGGCTAGCTCATGGAGGTTCAGTAGGAGTCCTTTGAGGAGACTAGTTTCTTGAACCGCTCTGTCGATGTCTTCTGCCGCGCTTTTGACTCTTCCGACGTAGGAGTAGCAGCATGTCAATACTTTGTCGGTAGCTTGAATGACGGCGATGATGCTCGCGGCGATGCTCAGAGGATCAGTCATTATTGATGAACTCGTAGGAAAATAAAAGGAAGAGGGTATCACAACCGCCGAAGTCATTTTGTCCTTCGCTGGTAATTCCAGGGGGCTACCAGGGATCTTTTTAGCTGGCGGGGCTGAAACGCTTAAGTCGATTTTTATTGGGTGGTTAGTCGCCATTCAAAGGCCCTACCAGTTGACAAAAATAGTTACCATGTAAACAACGAGAGGCAGAGCAGGGAAGCTAAACTGGCTCAGAGCAGGTAAGCTGTCGTCTCTCTAATTGCGAAATCCACCTCTTATTCTTAGAGCTACTACATCTCTACCTTTCGCGGGATATTTCGCGCCTGAACTGGGCGCTCGCCCAAGCGTAGGCGAGGGGTTGTGGCGACAAGGCGGCATCAGGCGCCTGGCCAGATTGAACGGACTCGCGTGCGACGCCATTGTCGGTGTCGTTGTAGTCGGCATTAACCCTAGCCAAGTCCTCCGCGTTGGCCATGTACCAAGCCAACGGTGCGTCCTCATTCTGAGCAGTACGGCGAGGCCGGGCAGAGGGCAAAAAGTGAATGCCAATATGAGGAGAACCTCTCAGAAACTACTGTCCTGCATTGGAGTCTGTGCGCAGGGCCACAAGGGCGAGCCACCGCCGAGTGCTAAAGTCAGAATTCCGGTTCAGATACTGCAATTTTAGCGAGTACGAAGGCTCCATTCATCGAGGGAGAGTGACCTGGACCAACGCTACTGGCTGCTTCGCTTTTTGGTCTTGGGTAGCAGGACTTTTGCCCTTCAATTTTGTGTGGAGCGTCATCATGGAGAGGGCATTAGGGATTTGGTTGTCCTGCCACCATCACACCTATTCGCACCGCAATTTTTCACATAGATGGAGATTGAGAGAACCTAAAATCAAGGATCAGCATTGTCGAAAGTCGAGAGAACGACAGAGTGTTGACTCATGCAACCATCTTCCAATGTATCGTCGGCCAGCACGCCATTGAGGAGTGTTTCGGCAACGATGGTAACATATTATTTCATCAGATCCTGCGAAGAGGGAAGCACTGACTCACCGATATCACGAACCTGCCAAAGTAGATGAACATAGTGAGCGGACAGCCGTCGTGCGTTCTATCCGTGAATGAGCTGTTTTAGATACGGCACTGCGCCGCAATTCGGAAACAGGATCAGTTGAGAATCTCGACTTCGCCGGCAGTCCACACCCAGGGTCCCCGAACTTACAGATGCATATGAGCTGAGTCAAATCATACAAAGTGAGGATGGAGAGACCCTTGGGCGACCCGATTTATCGTATGCTCTTAGGGAAAGCAGACCCTGCTTCAAATAGGGACTAATCATGTCCAAGGGAGAATCACCGCAATACTGGACTGGCTGGCGTTATTCACCTTTCCAATGACCGCTAAATCCGTTAGTAACGACGGCAGATGCTTTCTCAGCGAACAGGAGGTTGTTCGAGGAGGTCCTTCTGAGTGATCTACCAGTCGACACATTTACAGAATTGACAGAAGATTGCTTTACTATATCCTGACGAGTCAACCGCGCTCGCTCTGCCGTGGCCCGTGACCCGCAAAGTGAAAGATGTAGCACGTCCGGAGCAGCTCCTTCACATCCGCCACAGACGGACTAGGAAGATGAGTGACGGTAAAGGTCGGCGCCACAGCTGTCTAAATGCTCGACAATTCACTCAGTCAGTCTTTCGTGGGCGGACTCGAGTGCCTTGACGGTGAGCGCATATGAAGAAAATATGCGGCTGAGCATACTTGTACACTAACCAGTATAGGCAACCTCGTGAGGACGAACGGGAATCAAGGTCGATTGATACAGGCAGAAGAGCTCCAGGTGCAAGTAATGGAGACGAGATTGAGGGTTCTCGGGCCGGATCACCCAGACACGCTGACCAGCATGGCCAACCTGGCGTTCACTCTGAATGACCAGGACCGCGAAGAAGGAGCGGTGCAATTGATGATTTCCCGCTTCAAGCTACACGTGGAAGTGCTGGGCGACCCACACAATGACACAGAGTGCTGCCTTGCCGCCCCGATCACGTGGGTCAGTCTTCAAGATATGCAGAAGGTGAAGTAGAGGAGAATGCGATTCGCATACCCGGTGCCTGGCATGATTGACGAAGCTGAACCGGGAAAGACAAACTTGGAAATTGCGAGGGAATGGATACATAAGCTTTATAAGGCCAGGCTAGTTATCGTAAAGAGCAAAATACTCTTATAGGTAGATGATCGGACTAGGCTAGGCGGCCAGCTAACCTTACAACTACATGAATTCCCCCATTCCTGTTCTCCTCATCTCGAGCAACCATGGCACGTCGAGACAGTGTTACCGCTCGGAAGACCACAAGGCAGTCCCTGAAGCTGCCACACCAAGGTCATTTATGCGCTTCCATCTTCCGTACTCGACTGACCAGCAAGGGGAAACGTCCTCAACGCATCAAGAAGGAACAAGAGCAAAGTCCTCTTCGACGGAGCGCCCGTTTGGACCGCTTGATTGAGATTAATGAGACTCAGCAAAATCCCAGCTGGCAGCCTGAGGTGCTACGGGCTGATCGACGACAACGACAGCGACGACGGCGACTCCTCGCTACGTCGAGGCGAGTCGCGCCTGCGACCATGACCACTAGATCCCCAGCCACGTAGAGAACACGCCTGCACCGCGGTCGAACCTCAGCCTGATCCCTACGACCTAACAAGGCCCACATCGAGGCTTCCCTCCGCCTCTGACCATCATGCCCCTGTCACACCGGAACTACACGGTGGGCTGTATCTGTCCCATGGGGGTCGAACTGGCCCCCGTGAAAGCGATGCTGGACCACATCCACCCGATCCTCCCCCACGCAGCGCGACCAGAACAGCTACGTCTTGGGAGACATGTGTGGCCACAACGTGGTGATTGCGGTGCTGCCGGAGATTGGGACGAACGACGATGTCCGCCAAGCAGGCGAGGAGCACCAAGGGGATCTGGTCGGCGACCAGTTGAAATTTTCGAGGGAGGCCTTCGACGTCGCTCGCCGCTTCGTAGATCTCGTGAGTGCCTTCGTAGATCGCGATGATGGACGAAATCAGGCCGACCACGAGGCTCGCCTCGCCGATGCCCGACATGTTGGCAGAGTAATCCTGGCTTGCTGTTGGTCGAAGAAGGCTCTTCAGTGTCTAGGGATGTGTCAAAAGAAGGGGGATTGTGTTGTATAGCGCAACCGCCTTCCTGAACGGCTTTTGCGGTGTGACGACCTTGGTCCGGTCAAATCGCTTGGTGAGGCCCCGCTGTGAACGTTCCGTGACCGAGACCACCACGTTGGTGTCGACAGGGCGCACGCTTCGACTTCCCGTAAACTTGTTCTGCAACAGCTCCTCGAGTCGTCCTTGCAAAACTAGTTGCTAGTAGCAGCCGGGTGACAGTACCACGTCCGGCTCCGTGTCCTTCGAGATTGCTTTGCCCTTCAGCGTTACCTTCCACTCGATCGAGTAGTGCAGGCAACGTGGAGGGTCTTCATCATATGTTTAGTTTGGATCCCATTCCTCCTCTTGCATGAACGTCAACTTCGTTTGATGAGCATAGGGCGACAGGCTCGACACTCGTGGGGTTCTGTTCGGCGCCGCGCTGGGTGCGGCATAGTCAGGAAAGGAAGATGTCGTTGGTCCCGTATTCGTGACTGAATTAATCAACTGTGAAGACTGTTGAGAAGACGATTCTCGGAAATTAAATAAGTCATCCAAATTGTAAGCCTCAACCATGATGCCGGACTTGGACTTCAGAGGACATGGTGGAGGATGGATGAATCTCGAAGGGGTTGAGGGAGACCTGGGTTCCGAATCTGGCTCGCGTCAGTAAAGGCAACAGCTGCACACCTTGGGGCCGATTCTTTACCCAACAACTCCGTTCAGGTGCAAACTGTGGTCGACATGTCTCCAGCCCTGTCCAGAAAGCCGGAAATGAATTGCAGCCGCACAGGCGCGCACAATACTATTTCCGAGCTACTGTAACATGCAGCGTGCTAGACGCAATTGTTCTTCTCCTCCTATTCTTGTCTCTACTGTCGACACTACATTTTGCAAACGCCATTAGCACCAGCATTCCTCTCACACTGCCACCGCGGAGTCAGCGCATGATGCCTCGCTCTCTCTTCATCTGCCATTAGCCTATTCTCATCGGAGGCGTTATCGACAGGTGGGAGGCGACCACAAGGAGATTGTTGGACAGATGGTGGACATGGAATCGTCGTGGAAAGGCATCGCGCCTCGAGAAGTCAGGCGGCTTTCGATTGCAGAGCGTCTGTCAACGTAGGCCGCGTTATCATCAGGATTGGAGGGATCTCTCAAACATTGCAAAGGTAATGAGAAAAGCTAAGTCTACGCTCATTATTTTTGTGTAATTCCGATCACGGTGGACCTTCAGGTGTCTTTGAAATATGATAGATCGGCGAGTCGGTCTTGGTAGCTAGAGCGTCTACAAAACTCCTCGCGGCTCCCTTTGGGACTCACCCCGACCGCGCCGCTTTTATAGCCCTTTGAACTTACCACATTCAAGTTCAACATGCAGCAATCAACTGAGGGTTGACACAGCTTCTCGCTACCATAGTGATTACACCGCGCATGAACTTCGGGTGTGAATATAAAATTGAGGAGTTAAGATATTGTATGATGTATCCCTTGAATTAGCTCACTGTTCAGGTTTTGGATTGCTACTGTGGGTCAATACGGGATGAGGTCTTTTGCACGAGGTGCAGACCGGGGTTGCCACCTTTCTTTTTCAATTCCAAATGCCAATCCAAACCCGAGCGAATAGATGCTTCCACTATGAGAGGTTCTGGATCTTAAATCTTCCAGAACCACTTTCAGCTACTGCACCTGACGGGCAGAAGCATTACAACGCCGGACGACGCTTCGGAAGCATCGTACAATGAAGACCCCATGCACGTATCATGACCTCATTCCCCGGGAAGATCCACATTCAGTCGTGCGTTCTGCCGACTAATGGCAGCGACATAACTTGTTCCAGGCACCAAACTTCATGGATTGAGATTCTCGGAGATATAGGATCTACGCGTTCCGCAACAAAACATGTCTCCGCAGAGCGTGCACGGAGAGTTTGGGTTGACAACTACTTGTAGCCAAACGTCGAAATGTATCCGAGGTATGTCGAACTCTGAAATCTCTCCGTCGATGCAAGCGGCAGCGAGGCACCAGAGCAAAACTATTTAAAAAGGTCCGGTGAACTCTGAACCATCGAGAATGTCTTGTCTGTCTGTCCATCTCTCTGTTCATCCTCTCTCGCGAGATATTCATTGTAGGCCAGCATTGCCAAGATGGCCCATGATCAAGCAGCTTCATGTTCGGTCCGAACTCTCTGGGTCTGGCCTGGTGGCATATTCCCACGACGCGTTGCTTACTACGTCAAAGCGAAATCCTTGACAGCCGACCATCTCAACCGTCTAGGGCTGACTCTGATCCCCTGCACGGTCGACCTAAAGTCTCAAGATCTGGCTCTGGATGCCATCCCAGGCTACGAGAAAAGACCCAAGGGCTTCTCACTTCCCGTCTTGCGCATACAAGACCTCGAATCCTCCAACCACAGTGAATTCATCGCCCAGTCCAGCAGTATCCTCGAGTACTTGGAAGACTTACTCCCAGCGTCAGACGGGTATCTCAGTCTGCGGGGTGACGACGCCTTCCAAGCAGCCAGAATCAGGGACATTGTCCAGCTCATCAACGAAGTCTTGACCTGGTGCAACGTCCACGTTCGACACCTCACGGCGTTCAGTCTCGGGTGGAGTGGAATGACAAAGGAACAGCAGAGCCCTCAGGCGGGGGAGGACGCCAAAGTTCAATACCGCCGTCTGTTGACGACACTGCAGTCTTGGACCAACACGTGTTCAAAGGGAGTCAGTCTCGTTGGCGCCGACCGGCCCACCCTTGCAGATATCACGGCCGCGGCCGCCAAGACGTCCATGGAAGAGCTCTACGGCATAGATCTGTTCGACGGCTTTGAAGGTTTGGGTGCTTGGTGGACGCGATATCAGTCGAGCCCTTGGTTTGTGATAAGAGATGTGATCGACCAAATTGAAAAAGATGGGTTCAACCTTCTTTTGAAATGAAATGGTGGCATGTGAAAGGGTGTCCTTTGTTAGACACAGCCTTAGGAGAGGCTAGTCACGAGCCACGAGGGGCAGGACAGGACACACTCATTGGACACAAAGGAAGAAGCCTTCACAAGGAAACAAGGGCAAGTCACGTGATACGCTCTGCTGGCTCTGTTGGCTCTGTCGGCTCTATCAACAAAGCGTATAAAGCGCACAGAGCGCATAGAGTATTAACATTATATATACACCCTCACTCCCTTAGATAGTTACACTCTCTTCGTAGCCAACTTATGTTATTTACTGAACTATATAGTTCTTAGTAACATAGGTCCGCTCATACCGCGCGTAATTCACAACCAGCTCATACTATTCTAGGATTATTGCTAAGAACCCTAACCCAGTTAGGATCAGTAGGGATCCGTAATATCCTTGTACCACACACCACGCACTAAGCGCATTAATTAGGAGGAAGAAAAAGAAGAAGATCTTAGCGAGTTATCCGCTTTTAGCGCAAACCTTATTTCCTAAATAGAAAAGACCTTATTAAATTTAATAATATTATATAATATGTATATATATATATTTCCTGCCCTTCCCTTCCCTTAATTTAACGTTTTTCGCTTTCCCCTCCTCCTCTGCTGCACTACTTCGTCGCCGTCGAATATTCTCCCGATTAGATCGAGTATAAGACCCCCACGCGAGAGAGAGAGGAGGGATAGGCAGAACGGAGGACACGAGAATGAGGAAGAGCAAGAGAATGGGAGCGAAGACAGCCGTCGGGATTTTTCGGGTCCTTGGAGAAAAGAATGCCTTGGAAACCTTCTGAATGATAGTGAGTCAGCGAATTAACAGCAACGGACGAAATTTAGGGGGGAGCGGTCAAATTCGATCGCAAACACGACAACGTTAACAACAACGGCGACAGCGACAACGACAAACAATAACGCCTTGGCTGATGCATCTGTATCTGGATCGGGATCGGGATCTGCCTGTCTGTGGTTGCCTGTATTTGTGCTTCCGGCCTCATTACCATGCCAGCTTTGGCTTCATCTTCGTCTGCATCTTCAGCCTCATCCCCGTCCCCAACCTTATCCCTCACCTCGCCGTCGTCCTGCATTGACCAACTACCATGGCGGGTCCCATTGTAAGTGCCGGGGACAAACAAGAGAATGGTGACAAATCTCCGGAGTTGAGACGACGGGTGCTGAGGCTGCCTCTGGCGGCGCTCTGGATTCAATGCACCATGACACCATGTACTGCCGGGGTGATGGACGTTGCCTCAAACTTCCAAATCCATCAAATGTGGTGCTTTTGCTCTTGCTCTTGCTCTGCCTTCTTAGATGGGAAGGCTGCAGTTTGGTTTCGTCGGTTTTCTGACCCAGGCTTCAATACATTTGGGTATGGGGCCAGTCACGTAGTTCGCTGGCTGGCCGGAGTGCTGGATATGAGCCTGGTCTGAAGCTGAGCCTGGCTTGCGCCATTGTCTTCTCATTCCTCGCAATTCCACTTCCGTCGGCGTTGGGGGCACCGTCTCCTTTCCGCTCTTTCTCCTGTTCGCTGAACCACCTTGGGATTGGATTTCCAACAATATCCTCGACTACACCTCAGTACCACTTGTTCATTGCCCCCTGCTTTTCTCAAGTCTCAGGCTTGAGAAATTCTCAGCCAAAGGGAGAGAATCCACCCCTTCCTCCGCCAGAACTGAACCTAAAGCCGCCACCACCAGGCCCTCCACCCATTCCGTTCATCATATTATACAACATCTCTGGGTCAATCTGCACCCCACCCCCACCACCAGGGTATCCACCCATACCTCCGAACCCCCCAGGGAAGCCTCCCATGCCACCTGGAAATCCACCCATGCCCATACCAGGCTCCATCAAATCTGCCCCAGAATCATACATCTGTCTCTTCTGGGGATCCAGCAACGTCTCCTTGGCTTCAAGACAGTCTTTGAACTCCTCTTCCTTCCGCTTGTCCCCCTGCGTTTTATCCGGATGCAACACGGCCGCTTTCTTCTTGTAAGCTCTTTCGATCTCCTTGTCACCCGCGTCCTTATCCACACCAAGGATCTTGTAGTAATCCTTCCGCTTCGATTTCTTGAGTTCGAGTTCTGCGTTGCGCAGTTCTCTGCCCAGATCGGCGTCAGCAGGGTTTTCTTCGGACAAGGACTTCAGATCCTTAACGGCTTGTTCCCAATCGCCGCCTTCTCCAGTGGCTTTGGCCCGGGTTCTGCGGGCCTTGGTGTAGCTCGGGTCAAGTTTAAGAGCTTGGTCGCAGTCAGCTTTGGCTTCATCGTACTCCTTGGTTTTAATCCGGGCCAGAGCACGGTTTCCTAGAAGTTTGGCATTTGTGACTTTGTTGGTGGGATCGATGGTGAGGGCTTCCGTATAAGCAATGACGGCGTCGGAGTACTTGCCGCGCTTGAACATGTCATTAGCCGATGTTCGAGCTCTGTCGAGCTTCTTCATTGTTCGTAACCAATTTCGTGCGTCGGAGTTGTCAGGGTCTAGTGCCAGTGCCTGTCGGAAGTAGTCTTCGGCTCGTTCATAGTCGCTCTTCCCTTGTCTTGGCTTATCGTCCTTGAGGTAGAATGCTCGACCGGCGAGCACAATGGCTTCGGCGTCCATGGGATTTTCACGCATCAGGTTTTGCACAATCCCCTGCACTTCGCCCAGGGCATTTGCGGACCCAATCTTCAGATTTGCCTTGGCCTTGAGAAGCTGCCATCTCCTCGGCGTGGGTGTGCCAGATCCTAGCGTCTGACGTGCCTGTTCGATGCTCCACAGCGCCATGTTACCATTTCCGTCTTCCGCATCAATTTGCTTCTCCGCCATCTCAATCGACAGCAGGGCTTTTCGAGCCGATGCAGTGTCTGTGGCTGACGCATTTGGGATCTTAGCGTAGGTATCGAGGGCATCTTGCGGCCGTCCTAGTGAGGTGTAGATTCGAGCCAGACGGTGTAAAATCTTGTCATTTTTGGGATCTAAACGGCTGGCCTGGAGTGAATCACCAAGTGCCTGGCTGTATTTATTGGCAGAAATGTAGGCGGCGGCTCGATTTGACAGATATGTGGGATTCGAAGGCTCTGCATCGACCGCTGTGTGCATTTGTCAGCCAATCTGCATCTCCAACCTCAATCAATTGCAAGGTGCAAACGTTACCTTTTGTGTACTCGACGATGGCGCGATCATAATCCTTAGCCTTGAAGAACTTGTTCCCTGCGGCCTTGCAGGCTTCCGGATCGACTTTGGGCGCGGGAGGAACTCTATGGGGAGGAGGCGTGGGACTTCGCTCGTCGTGGTGGCCATTGGTGCCGTTGGAGGTAACATCACTGTTGGCCTGATCGGAAAAAGCGCCTGCAGCATCTTTTGAAGGAGTGACCGGCTGCGACGAGCCTGCAGTGCCGCTCGACATGGAAGAATCATGGTCATTTGTGTTGGGAAATTCTCGATCTATCGACATTCTGCCGGCAGACTCAGCCTCTTGCCTGGCCATTTGAGCCAGATGTTGACGCAGTCGGTCAGGAGGAAGATTCAGCGGGTGGGTGTCAGGGTCGGGGTTATTTCTGAACTTCTTCTTTTCCTTGTCTTTGTCCTGCTTCTTGGGCGATTTTGACTTTCGCATGGATGTTGGATTTGAGCCAGTAGAAGGAAGGGCGACTGCGGGTGGGGCTGAGGTAAAGGCAGCACGGCCTGAGCCTGTTGTGCCCACCGTGCGAGTGACACCGGCAGTGGCTGCGGGAGGAGGAGGACTATTAGGTTTGCTGTAGTTGCTTGAATTGGGATCACCGGGAACACCCTCTGCTGCTTCAGACACTCCAGACACACCCTTTCGCCGCCCAGGCTCTTGTTTCTTCGCGTCGGCCGCGTTCAGGGATCGTAGGAGTGCCCGTAGGTTCTGCTCAGTCAAAGGTGCCGGAGCCGCCTGGCCTGATTTAGGCTTCGACTCCTCGGTGAATAGCTGGAGGGGTGTCGTGTACGACGTCGAACGGGTTGGGGACTTCAGTTTGCCGGTTGGGGGAAAATCTCGAGGGTGGCTTGGAGTGCTTGCGGACCGGAAGAATGTGTCGTGCTGGTGACTGTCGCTCTCGTCGTCGTTGCTCTCAGGCATATCCTGGTCGAAATATCTAGAAATTTTGCAGGTGCTGGTGGGACTCTGATTAATTCCGGGCTGGGTGCCGGGATCTAGAAGATTGCCTCGTCGGTGCTCACCACGCTCACCACTCCTCGTGGCCCTCCCACGTTGGCGCCTGTTGGCGTGGGTGGTGGTGCTTACCATAGGGCCGTTAGGCGCACTTTCCCCCTGAGGCTTGGGCCTCGAGGCTCCCACACCCGCTCCTGGACTCCGACTGCCCAAAGGCATCTTATCAAGCCTCGCTTGTCTCTTCGCCGCTTCGCTTGCTGGTTCCCTGGACTTCGGCGAACGAATGATCGGTCGAAGGCTCACTTGTTTCTCTTGCACATGACACTGCAAAGTGCCCTGGTCAGTCTTGGAACAGTCGGTCGCGGGTCACTTGTTTGGCAGTGTGAGCATCGGGCTGAGGCAGATCAAGTGAGTGGCCGCTTCGAGGTCAACTCTCTGTCGTTGAGGGACAGCTACGTTGTGGAAATCTTATAAACCGGACAAATCCAAGTCTAGAGATTCAACTTGGGTTAAGATTCATGGGCTAGGCACACTTCACAAGCTACGTCTGAACCAAGAAATCTTTGACGCCTCACTGTGTTGCAATAAGGGCATTTGGAGCTCGTCAAAATCTCCTGAGAACGGGACAACGACTAGAGGGCTGTCGCAAATCTGTAAGAAATCAACTCTGGACAGGATCCAGTTTCATTCCATTCTCTGATTGCCCATTGATGCTGTGCGTGTTCCGTAATGATAATAATACAGGAAAACACGCGTTGGAACTCTCCAGATCCCGCTTCACTGTGCGTTGGTCTTGCAGGTCCAGCTGCACCGGTCTGGCTCATTACTGATGGCGTAGCCGCTGGCATACAAGCCCATTCCGCCGATGCCAGCACCCATGGCGAACACCAAGAGGTTGACCACAGTCAGGGCCATCTTCCTCCAATTGCGAGTATATTGGCCGTAGTTGAGGAACAGCCAGGCCCCAAGCGACTTTTCCGACCAGTGTCCCAGCGGATCCCAAGGCTGGTGAGTCGACCTGATCTCCACCATAAGCATAAACCATCATTGCGACCAGAAAATACATGCTGGTATCGGTAACCTGTAACAAGACGAAAGCCTTGGGAAAGTCGTGTGGATTCGTCATCTCGGAGTTGAAACTGAAGAAAGCTACATGGCCAGCATTTGCAAAAACTATGTTAGTCACGGTGAGAAATGCCGTCGCGAAGGTGGCAGACTGGGTGGTGTTGAAATGACCGTGCGAAGGACCCCTGGCTCCTGTCCCTGCCATGGTGACAATCACCGCCGTCGTAATGCTGAAGAAGCTGGCACAGAAAAGCCATGACACCTTCAGAAGAGTTCGAGGGATGTCGAAGGTCCAGAAGAGAATCTACCCGACAATGCCCCAGACAATAGTGCAGGCGGCCCCGTCGGTCAGTGTGTTCAAGCAAATGGTCCAAGTCAGAATATGACTCGCCATACTGAAAATGAGGAAAATGGTCTGGGCGGCACCCAAGACTTCGCGACCGATAGCAGCTGCGCGGTCCCACCGGTTTGAAAAGAACATAGCCTGCATCTGCCATATTGTGGACCTGCGGGAAACGAGAAATGAGCATGTGGTTCTGAGGCTCGCTCAAGCATTAAAAAAACCGCCTACCCAAGGATGTGCTGCCTTGAACTGTCCGATGACATATCCCGAATAGGTTGCCACAATTCCGATGCCAACAATGAGAATGGCGCCTGGCACCATACCAATGGTCGCTAGGACTGAAGGTAAAGACAGAATACCCAAAGAGATCGTCTCGGCGATCATGACTGAGGAACAAGGTCATCATGTCAGGTCGACTGTGGTGCCAGCAAGCAGGCAATAGCAACTCACTCATACTACATTGCCTGGGACACGCTGATATCAGCATACGGCTGTCCATGCAAAGTGTAACTACTGGCTACTCACCACCATTTCAAAGTGCGGTACTTGACTGCTCCTTCCTCATGGTCGTCCCCAAATGGATCTGTCTCTTGATACTCGCTTTGGCGTCGCCAAGCTGAGCCTAGTGTAGAACGTCTCTTCTCAGCCGAAGGGTCGAATGGTAGATTATAGAGACTGTGGATGTCCTTCTCTTGGTCTGGGCCGAAAGGGTCGGACGACGCGCGAAGCGGAGGGGATCGAGAGGCCATTCTGTCTGTCGTTGTAAAGTAACACAATCACGAGTCACTCATAAGATGATCCAGCTTTTGTGGAGAGTTGAGTGAGACACAATAGTATATGAATAACCTGCAGTGTCCGTATACGTGTTGATGCCAAACTGACCGACAAAGACACAATGCATTGATCCCGTGTGGGCGTGTATAATGATGCCATAGCCCACATTCTATTACCAGTCATGCTCTCCGTCTTCGACGTCACGACAGCCTTGCACTGCGACCCTCATGGAGACGGAATCATGATGGAGAGGCCATCGGCCGTTTGCATCGTATTTGCAAAGGAGTCAATGCTTGACACAGTACAAGCTTGTACAAGCCTGATACGTACCCTTTAACTGGTCAAGAGCTGCGTGCCGAAATGAGGGGATGATGACGAGCAGATGTCAGGAGTAACTTGCTGGTATTGTGGTGCTGGTGGTGTCGCAACTTGCATCATAGCAGCAGTAATGGCAGTAACGGAAAAACCAAAGTTCGGACACCGGAGCGGGAAAACCAGGGGTCCGAAAATACAACTCCGTACCTGTTTTACGAAGAATCCTCATAAAGGGGCATTGCTAGCTCGCATAACAACCCAACCACAAACATCAAAGCACTGGCGCCAAAGATATAGACCGTTCACTCCATTTCTGCTGGTCCATTTTGTCTTAGTGATGGGTGAGGTCCTTGCACAGTTCCTGCATCCTTTTCCACAGGCTCCTGGGGATCGGATTTCGGAGCTTCAGGCACAATCTTCGCTGGCATTTCTGCAGCCTGAGGTGTGCCACCGAGTTCCGGTGTATTCTGAGAAGCTGCTGTGCTGTACGATGGCAGGGAATCTTTCTCCGGTATTTCCATGCCCACATTTTGTCTGTGTTGACGACGAGAACGAAGCCAGAAGAAGATGGCACCGCAAACGATTGCCACACCGGCAACCACTGCTATTACAATTCCTGCTATTGCACCGCCAGACAAGCCGCTGCTTTTCTTGTCTTGGGCTTCGGTGGGAATGGGAGTTGGTGAATAGGTCACAGTAGTGCTGCTGTTTTGCGGAGGGGGGGCAGTAGTCGCAGTCTTTCTGATCGTGAAGAGCTGGCTGAGCCCCGACTCGGCCCATCCGCCCTCGGGCTCGACCTTAGTGGCATTCCCTGCTGGCCTGATGATCTCAATTAGTTTGTGAGGCTACTTCGTGGAGTCGCGGCGCTCACCCTCCTCCAATAGCTGCGACAACATCGTCAGGCACGTCATACCGAGGTGCCGCAGCATCGAAAACGCTACCCCATCCGATAGTACTCAGATCAAGCACGGCTAAGCTCTTCTGTTCCCAGTCACAGTCGGAAGAGATGTTGCTGCTTTCTGTAAGATTCCGTTAGCTGAATATATCGGCATAGGACTGGCTTGGAGTACTCACTTCCTCCTCCGCCAACAGTGATCATCTGCCTCGGGGGGATGAAATGGCATGTCACACTCCACCGAGCATCTTGACCGGTGAACACTTGGACCCACGTGAACGAGGGAAGACTAAGGACATAGATATCATCGAAGATGGTACCATTAGATGTGCCACCGTACAGGTATATGCTGCTGCTGCTGTTATCCTGGGCAGGTGCGGCCACCAAACAGAAATCCACGCGTGCAGCAGGGACATTGCCTGTCGCTTTCTGTTGGTACCATTTGTTTTTGTCCACAGACGGATTATCACTCAAGTCTGTCGAGCTGACATCAAAGACCCAGATTTCGTCCATGGGGATCAGGCCGTCCGCTTGAGTCTCACCACCAAGCAGCACGAGCACTCCAGCGTCACCAAAGTTGTCAACATACACCATCCCGGCTCCTTGGCGATTGCTCTTGACGGCATCGTCGACTGTGACGTTCTTGATGGCGTTGCTGGTTGTGTCGAGAACCACCATTCCACCAACGCCAACGGTATCATCACCCAACAATTGAGTGGTGTTTGCTGTTCCGCTATCGATCTGGCCACCCACGTAGAAAGCAAGCCCCTGATCAGGAGCTTCGGCGTTCGCTCCCCATGACGGTATTGTGTCCAAGGATCCCGAGGTATCGACAGCAGCCCAGACGTCGGCATTCATGTCATAGGTCCATAGGCCATATTGAGTTGTAGGCGGAATCTCAAAGTAAGGGAAAGACTGATTGAAGCTTGAGGTTGTCCCTCCAAACATATAAAGTGTACTCGAAGACTCCAATCCTCCAAAGAGGGAGCCATCATGGACATTAACAGGCCATTGCATGCCAGCAACGCTACCGCTTTCGTGTCTGGCGCTCTGAGAAATCGATACGTTCGTTTTCCAGTCCCAGGAGGCACTCATATCTACGGAGATTAGGTTTTCGTCTTGGGGAAGGTACCTGTTAGAGAAGTAGAAACATTCGAGAGGACTTCATTGACCCACTGATGCCCGAGGTAATTGTACTCCAGTCTTGTTGTCCATCCGCTCCAAAATCCACATAAGTTTCGAGACCACCATTGATATATAGTGTGCGGTTCTTGTAGACAGCTGAGAATATTTCAGTATAGCCCAAGGTCGCCCTGTTCTCATGTACTAACAGCTGTGTCCGATCCTCCTGCAAAAGTTTGTGACTGGATCGAGGGAAACCCCTGCGCGAACGAGATCGAGTTGGGTCAATGCGAAAAGGCCGAGAAGCATAAAACGATGGCTCATAGAGCCTTGAAAGGTATCCATTGCGACAGCCAGCTGTCCGATCAGATGTAGACAGAATTATCAACAAAGGAGACTTGAAAAGCGCAAAAGTGCACGCCGGAGCACGAAACAACAGAAAGAGAAGCAATGAGAATCAGACGAACGGAAGCTGTTGCTGGGATTTGTGCTTCCAAGGACCAGTTCGAGTAGTAATAATTGCTGATCCTCCTTCATTTCCCGCGTCAGCCCTAGCGTGGCTAGAGAGAGAATGGACGAGGCTAGGATGATGGGGCCACAGCAGGCCATTGGTCGTGCCACCTCGGAGGCACACATCGCAAACCGCACGTTATCGATGATGCGAGCTGTCTCAAACGAACTGGGGAAGCCGCCAGGCCGAAAGGCATTGTCCTAGTCCAGCATCAACTACTAAGCTAAGGACAACGGTCGGGGCCTGCAAAGAGTAGGCTACCGGTCTGTCAAGCCCACTCAGCCTCACAAAAGCTCTCTTAATGTCCTTGTGGGAGCCAGGTGTCCTGCGTACGGGCCACGATGCTTCATTTTAGAATGCTGCAAGATGTTGCGGCGAGGGAACATGAAGACCTGAGTTCCTCGAGAGGATGAACTTCGGGCCCCGTCAAATGACGCAACCGACAGCCCAGACGAGGAAGGGACAGATGAGGAGGAAGAGTTAGTCAACATCGTTGTTGAAGGCGTCTTACGAGTCGAGGCCCAAGACGGGAGCATGTACAGTACTGTTTGCAGATGGCTGAGATGAGATGACAAGCCGCGAAGCAGTACCCGGTATGTACCTGCAACCGAAAGATCAATGGCCGAAGGTCGAAGGCGACGAATGTTTCAGAGTTGCGTTGCAGGACGCGAGGTGCAGTTGTGAATTGTGGCGCGATGGGTCGAAGTGGCACGTGATTGCGCGTTTCGGACGGGGCAGCGCGGCCTGGGCGAGTGGCTGCTTAGTGGCTAGTGCTGTGGCGGGTTGTTTATGTTTCTGACGTAAGAAGTAACGTCCAAGCACCACAAGCTCTCTCCACCAAACATTCGAATCTGGCCATCACAAATCCTCCACACCAAACAGACCACACCGCCAGGGTCATTTTCGAGATCCCACCCTTCTCCGTACCTCATTTTGCCATCCCTCTCGTCCTCGGATTCCTCAGGCCTTTGGGAGGACATTCAAGACATGGCCACTCCTCGCCGTCGCTCAGCTCGATTGAGCAAGGCGGCACAGCAACAGGTAATGTTTGGCCAATCTGCAGAGAAACAACTCTTCATCTCAGTCCATTGCGATGTAACCAAGGTATTTCTCATGGCTTGGAGCTAATGATGTTGCTTACAGCATGCCTCTCCTCGCAAGGGGATCTCCACCGTGCAGCTTGAATCTCTGGTAGAGAGAGATGAGACTCCAGAAGTCGGCGAGCCACAATCCATCGATAATGTGCTTGCAACCCCGGCGTCGGCCGCCATGATCAAGTCACAACTGTCCAAACTGTCCGGTCTGAAGACCCCTCGGACGGAACCGCAAGCCGATCGCGGTGAAATGCATCCTCAACTCCTTCACCAGACAACCACCAAAGCACCGGATTCCGGCCTCAAGATGGGTTTTGTCGATGTGCCCGCCCATCCTCCCCGCTCCATCGCAAGTGCCCAGAACACCCCGTCAAAAGCCCGTCTGAACACACCTGCAAACCTGTCTTCTACTACATTCGACTTCGATTTCGGCTCTGAATCTCAGCTGAGCAGTGAGGCACAAAAGCTCATGGACAATGTTCGGGAAGAGGCGGTAAGAATCAAGGCTCAGATGCGAATGGAGAGAGAAATCCAGAAGCAAAAGGATGCAGAGGCTGAAGATATCTTCAGGAGCACCAATGCCGCTGGAAGGAAAATCGCGAAACCGAAGGGGAGAGCAGGAAGATTCAGCGACATCCATATGGCCCAATTCAAGAAGATGGACTCAATAGCCAATCACCCATCAGCTTTCAGAGCGAAGCCAGGCTTTGCCCAGCCTACAGCTCAATCATTGAAGAGAAGTGGTTCCAAGGCCGGTCTCGACGAAGCCGATCGACCTCGAACTGCTGGAAAGGGCACTCCTGGTCGAAAGCCACCTCCGTTCCTTGGTCGGCCCACCTCTATCAGTCCTTTCAAGTCCATTCCGGCGCAGCAGGAGCGCGCCGAGACCACCACGCCTGCCAAACGTGCTCGACGCTCCGAACTCCACGACGTATCTGCGAGTCGACCATTGGAACAGCCCTTGTTAGCCCGCCCCTCGACTTTACCACGGCCCGTCTCAAGCAGCCTTCTATCGCCTACCAAAGCTTCCATAGCTAG